GAAGTTTTATAATAATGGAATGTACGAAAAGTGACCCGAAAAACGGCGCTAACTCGGTAACCCGTGGCCCGATTTTACCGAAAGTTGTTTTATTCTGTTTCTGTTCTCATTTCATTACGAATATGGTGCTATTGTGCGCCGTTTATGCTGTATTTAATTACAGACAAAGCACACAAACAAACAAATAATCTCAGAATTTTAGTAGTATATAGATATCACAGTTACCTTCCATATCAAAACCCGTTATATGATTAAAAGTGGAAGATGTACGATGTACTATAGTCTTTTGCTGGAGACAACTGGTAGTGGGCTAAAAGTAGGACATTAAAATATATTGATGCGTCAGCGAGGTCACGTGACTAGTATCACACCACGTCTTTCTAGAAGTATCCTGTTCCTTCATGAATGCTCTAGCGTTTACTAGATATGTGTTAGTCTTGTATATATATAAGACGGTCACAACGTGACGGAACAATGTGTAATTGAACTGCAGAGAGAGAATATTGTTGAGCACGTGAGACGTTCGTTGAGAATTATAGAGTTTGTTATAGCGCGGCTGTTGAAATTAAGTGTATCGCAAAGTTATATTCAGAAAGAATAAACCAGTTTTATTTAAGAAAGGACTTGTATCGGTAAAGTTTCTTCGATAAGAGTCTTAACGGAAAATTAACTAACGAACGGAGACGTAACAATATATTTATAAACTACAATGAATTTCTGCATTTTATTGATTTCGTCTTTAAATGAGAAGATCGAAAATAGATCCTATAGACACATCTAAGATCTATCTGAGGTTAGGCGTTATGAATAAATTTACACCTTAATAACAAGTGTATATTACCTAGATAAGGGAGAGAAACTTATAGTTATCGAACGTTTACCAACTACCTGCGTTGGAGGAGTGTTATTAATGTTGCAAAGTATACTTTTTTATATGACGTTTTGAAACAGCTATTTGTGGGATAATAAATTTATTTGTGTACAATGTTTCGTCTCTTTGTTTTAATTTATTTGTTAGCTACAGGAAGATGCAAGTTGTTCATTACCATCGTCCCCAAAAGGTGTGCGTCTGTCTGTGTGTTTCCGCTACACAAAGAAAAATCAATTTAACTCCTTGTTTGTTATTAAGCAAAAAAGCTTCACAATGGGCTATCTATGTTGTGTCTTCCACGGGTAATGAAACTTGGTATTTAAAGTTATAAGCCATCAGACATGCTACTGAGCCATTGGAGGGTCAAATGTTATATGGAAAAAATATAGAAAAAGAAATTCGACAGAGATCAATTTCAAACCTACAAATTATATAACAAAACACGCTTTCTTTTATTGCCAGTGCACTCAAGTATGGTGAGGATTTTTCTACTCATGCTTAATAGTGAAAGTTCCTAATGTTAGGGTTCGATTTCACTGAGACAACACCATATGGGGAAAAAATGGTTTTCAGATATGGATTTAAGATATAAAAATGCACCTATCAAATATTATTATTGTGGCCATTATTTGTGTAACAGTTGCCGGAGTATCCATGTTATTGAGTAAAAAACATAATATAAATCGTATACCACAAAGACACGAAATTTCTTTGGAACTGCAATGGTAAACTTTGCAGTTTAGTGGTTGGGTTGCTTCCAGTTTCTAAGACCATCTTTCTTATGATGACAGCTATTGCTTTTGAGATGTATGAGGGTTGTTTCGCAAGACGTGAGAAGAAAAATGTGGTATACCTATCCATAAATGTCAAACACCACCACAATAAACGGCCCTAGTTATCCACTTTCCACATCAGGGACATTACACATGCACATCAGAATGCGTCATTTACTGCATTCAGTGTAGCACGTGTCACAAACTATATATTGGAGAAACAGCCTGTAGACTGGGTGATCGTTTTCATGAACACTTTAGATCTGTAAGATAAGGCTTCACTGATTTCGAAGTTCCTAAACACTTCAATTATCCTGACGACAATGGTACCTCCGACATAGTAGTCTTACTTATGAGAAATGCACCACTTAACAAGTTAAATGCGCAAGCCTTGAACACTGTCATTAACTGACAAGCTTGTTTCTGGCTTGAAAAAGAATGTTTGCTCGAAACGTCGCCAAGTAAATAAATTACTACGATAGTTTTAAAGGTGATTTTTCTCTAAACGCCTAATTACTTTCTTTAAGCCTAACTTGCATATTGTTGCGTCAGCGAGTCACGTGACTACTGTGACGCAACGTTTCTAGAACTATCATGTACTTTGGCGAATGCTCTAGTAATTACTAGATATAGGGTAGGCTGGTATATAAAAGAGGGGAATGTAATGTGTGTGTGGACAGTGAGTAATTGAACTGCAGTCAGAAGTATTGTTGACGTTCATTGATTACCGTTTGTTTTAGCGCGATTGTTGAAGTTGAGTGTATCGGTAAAGTTATATTCGGAAAGAATAAACCAGTTTTATTAAGTAAAGACTTGTGTCGTTAAAATTTCGTCGGAACGAAGTTACGGAAAATCAATTAACAAACAGAGACGTAACAATATAATAATCTACTGTGGAATCTATGTATTGGTTGTGTGCCAATGAATTTTTCATTTCACATGGATATGCCTTCCATGCCACAGTTTCATCACAATATGATGGTTTGTCAGTTAGACAATGTTGTTGAATTGGTTATCTGAGTTCCATAAATCAGTGAAGTACAGGTGCAGCTGCAGTCATCCAAAAAGGTCTTGCAGTTACAGACAGAATAACAGTAGTAATAACAGATGTAGACTTAATGAATACTTTTATTACATATGGCATAGTTAATGATATTTGAAATTGGAATTCTTAAGGAGATGCAGAGAGATGTGTGGCTTATTTGATTATTGAATTGTCAATTGAATTTCTAAGTGATCTTGGAATTGATTCACTGTATTGATCTTGATGATATAATCCTTCTCCACTTCATTGATGTTCTCTTGTGCATCTTCATTGTTGTTATTATAATTACTCTGTGATGTCTTTTGGCTTTTATTTATCTTATCTTCAGTCAAATTTATTTTTGTTTTGTGATTCCTTTTACACTCTCTTTCTTCTTTTATCTTGCTGTATTTATTTTCTCAATTTCTTAAATTATTTAGCCTCTTTCTTCTGAACTAATTTTTATTTTCTATCTCTTTAATCTTGGTCGTCTTTTAATTTTGACTCTTTCTTCTTGATATTCTTTCCATTATTTCATCATTTCCACCAAATAGTCAATCTTGCTTCAAGCAAGTATCATTTTGAAGGTTATTCTGATTTTTTTTATACTAAAATGATATCACTCCTGTTACCACTGTTGTAGAGGTTTTTTATTGAGTGGGGGTCTTTCTGATTATTTGGTAAAGAGAAGAAGCACAGTCCAGTTCACTTAAAGGCAACAAATGTTTTATTTCTTCAATTTCAATACATTTTAGTCTAATTTGCAGCATTGAAATGACAGGCTGATAGCATCAAACAAACTGACTAAACTATATGTTGTTTAATCATTAACTGACTAACACTCACTCAATAATTAGTCAACATTTACTCTAGCTTACCTCATTTTACACTGGCTCAAACTGTTCTAAAACTTTGAGAAAATTCCATATTTTAAGCCATACACTCGTAACATATTACACATCTCCTTGATCAAACTCCCCCCAGTGAAACAGCGGTATGTCTGCGGACTTACAATACTAGAAACCGGGTTTCGATACCCGTGGTGGGCAGAGCACAGATATCCCTTTGTGCTTAATAACAAACAAACAAACAAACTTGACCAAACAACAATACACACATGTAAATTAAAAACAAACCCAGAATACTATGACGTATAGAATTACTATACCCTCGACATTTTACCAAAGATAATTTACCTTACATCAAAATAATCATGTATTCAATGTCGTGATATGAAAGACTGTTTAGTGTAGGTATTATTAACTTAT